ACAGGCTTTCATTATTCTGAAATGAGTATGGAGACCTACAGCACTGCACTTAGCATTAGGCACGAACAAGATCCGGATTTCCAACACCAATCCAGTTAAGTCAGTGCTGCTATATGGTTCAGAAACTTGGCGTGTCACGAAAAGCATTTCCAACAAACGTCAGACATTCATCAACAACTACCTACTGCATAGGCTCGTTACTGAAGCTCAGATGGCCAGAAATAATAAGCATCAAGAAACTCTGGAAACGAACCAACCAAGAAGCTATCACCCAACAAATATTCACTGGGAGAAGGTGAAGATGGATTGGGCAAACACTGAGAAGACCATTCGGAGACATCACGAGTCAGGCCAGGCCGTCGAGTGGAACCCAGATGGGAAACAGCCAGTTAGGCTTGTGGGCAGTCATGAAGCCAGGTTTTGAAGACAGCAGAGAGGAGAAAGCAATGGAGGCGTGTTACTAAAGCCCAAGGGACCCAAGAGAAAAATAATAATAATAATAATAATGCAGTAATTTGAAAATTGCCTTTACTGAATATCGGACATAAAGACACATTTTGAGTAATGGTTAATTATATCGGTAGATCATTCGAGTAAAACATTTACAAAAGTAGTCACATCATAGGAGAATGTCAATTGAAAATAATTATTAGGTCATTCTTATCTCAGTGGAAATTTGAATAATAAACCTCTAATTATTTCACCATAATTCCCAGTTTCTATCATTTTATCTACAAGGTTTCAAAGATAAGCCTTAGAATTGTTCATTCTCACCTGGAATCTCTTGGAAATTCACTAAAATACAACTTTTAAATAAATTGGGTTGCACTACAATTTAAAACTGTGCCATAATTCATTGTTCAGTTTAAAAATTGGGGTTTTATGTTGTACTCTGCTGATAAGACTACTGGAATTTTAACTAACGAACTTGATATCTGATTAGATCAGTTGATCAACTCAGTCTATTCACGCCAATACAATGAACACACCTTACTTGTTTATTGGCTGGTAACTGGAGGGCAACCAACTTTAAATTGACCAGTCCTAAGTGTTGGTCAAATTCTGCCAGTCACTTTGAAATGTGCCCATCATGCTACGGGATTCAGCATCACAATGCACTGGAAGAGATGTTAGTTGGACGGTGGCAATCGAGGGGAAGTCTTGACTTAGGTTTCATGTATTCTAGCACTCATCAGCGAGATGTATCTGCAACGTCTACGTAACGGATGTCCCGTTAGAGATTTGAACCCGAATCACCCAGTATTTCTGCCATAAATGGTAGCATTGAGCTATTCAGTCCTTATTCTTGTTCTTACGTGTCCCTCTGTGTGAATGCGACAGATTTCTAAAGGATTCAGAGACAAAAATAATCAAATGTAGGGAGAATATAATCAAACATCTAGTGGATGTATCCGCGTCATTAAAAGAAACGGTAAGTGGCCGATTAACTCGTGCTATTACCTTGTTTCCTGCCATTGATTCACTTTTCCTCTATGTTACTGACAAGTCCGAAATATCAAATTTGTCTGAAATCTTTTATTTCCTGTTACTAAGTTATTGGTTAGGCTATCTATAATTCATCTTCTGAGTCGATGAAACCATTAATCCTTTTACGAAATAATCACTTTTCAGAACTGTAAACCATTTAACTCTGACCCAATGACTGAATGGTTTACGCATTAGCCATGAAAGCCGAAAGATGTGTGTCTAATGCTAACCAGTCTCATACTAAGACGAAACGGCTATCTAGTACTCCCAGATTTCCAATGCTGCTCCAAACAATGTCACACCGTGACCAATACTACCTTAAAAATAAATGAAATTGTTAGTTGCTTTAAAATATGTATGAGGAAAATATTACATGAATCATCAGTTCCTTTGGAAAAATACGGGAGTTACTGCGGTTGAAAATCCCGAATACGAGGTGAAGGGAAAAATTAACAAGGTGTGATTTTATTAAAATGTAACTGAGTGAACAGCAGGTGAAACATCACATGAGAATACCACTCAGACATAATCTAACATAATAATCGTGATCGAAAAACGTGAAAATAGTGTTACAAAATATAATGAACCAAAATGGAATGGAATAGAACAAGATGAGATAAAAATAAGACATAGGTGGTTGTGAGAATCCTGTGATGAAAATGATGAGGACAGTGAAGGGGATCGTACAATCTGCCGCCGCACACATGGTTCTGATTTAACACTTTATATTCTCAAGGCTTCTATAATACAAAGTAGGTGTGTGGGTTCAGCTTTCGATGAGTTGGATTCCACCTTGTAAATAACGTCAATTGGTGATTCAGAGGCTGAATGGATGCAGTCGACTACATGTTGGAGGATAGGTGGATTTGGGACTGCATGCTTTCCCTTTCTCACTTATGCTAAGAGGTGTGGTCGGACACGATGGGAAATATTTCTCGATGAAAGTTGTGCGTACCCAGTTCCACAAGAATGGGTAAACGAGTAGATGCACGTCGAATACGACAACCGATGCGACATTTCTTTAGCAATAATATTGGGTAATTTGTGGTTGGCTGGAACTGCTGGACAGAATGTTTCTCCTACTGACTATGTTGAACGGTTCTTATGTATTTCGTCAGCAATATCACCTCTTAGTTGTAAACTAATGCATATCTTCCTGATTGGCATATCCACTTCGTCCGAGTTTCTATTGATCTGTCTACACTTTCTCTTTATAAAAACTGATGGAGAAGAGTTTTTCATGAAATTTTGCCTCAATAATTTCAGTTCATCTTCTACACTACATTGTGTACAGATTTTCGACTGAGTGATGAAATGCTAAAGCCACTGTTTCATTTACGCAAGTGTTTATTCAAGATGATTCATAGTTTGAGAATAAATCAGGAGAAGGGATCAAGTATGATGTGGTTAATTGAAGATGCACGAACCTCGTTGAAGTTCTTTTCACTCTACATCCCTTCATACACTTTGACTTCGAAACCGAAGAAGACAACTAGATCGTTGCACTCAGTGCCAACGAGAATCGTGCGGAAATTTGCTAGTTATTATCTGAAGTTGGATTTATGTTTGCACATGATCCTGTGTGTAGAATAATTTAAGTCGATTGACTGTGTTTTGAATTATTTATAGTGTTGAACGGTTTCCATTGAACACTATTTTGAGAGGTAGAGTTGTTGTGTGTGTAAGGAATAATTCCTTGATAACTTGATGAAGAGAAGTTGATGTATGTGGTATGCTGTTTACCACGAATTGTTCATGAGCGTCAGCTGATTATATACTGTCTGAGTGTGAAAGTAATTTTTGCATAAATCTCGATCTATACAGTTTCATCACCTATGAACAACGGATGTTCATCTTTTTTGATAGACGCATCCGCCCCCGCTGATAAATATTTTTTAGTCTGCTGCTGATTTTATTGATTATTTATGCATTGAAGTCGATTTTTCAACCTTTCTTCTATTGAAAGCTAATTCTGGTTTTGGTTTGTAATTATCTAGTAGATACTTTCAAATCCGTTTACAGTAACCACCTACGATAAACCGCAGTTCTCTTTGAAGGAAATTTAAACGTTGACACATTGGATTGAGATGAGAAGTCCTAACTAGACAGACAGTTTGAATACGACTGAGCAGTAGAAATGCATCACGAATTTAAATGATAGTCGGGCAAAACCCTGGTTGCGATTGAAGTGAAGTAAAAAAAATAAAAAAACTGTACCTATTATCTTAGTTGTTAGACCATCGGACCGGAAACCCGGTGTGTCACTGGTTCGAATCTGGCCACCGTCCAAATTGTCATGCCATCTCCAATCACTAACCAGTCACAATACTAGTCTACCAAATCACGACTATCCTGAATAGTCAAAATGATAACTGCTTTTCTTATTTTTTGATTTATACCAACGGTTTTCTTTTGGATCCTTCAACAGGATTTTCAGTCAACACAAAGAATTTCACCGACATTTCATAAATAAGCTTTTTTCATATATCAATGTTATTTGTCAAATTTGATTGTTAGCTAAACTGTTTGAGATTAATTTGATCCATATGTCGGTACCTATGTAGACAAGAATGATAAATGGAGATGAGAAAGCACAAATAATGAGGATAGAATTTTAGTTATCAATCATCAAGTTGCTTATCTAGATCGTTGTTGATCGTGATACAACTGAGATTAGAGTGTCATGAGGTTGAGAATTCAGTTCTGACATTTATCTTTTATGTGAGTGAGTGGAAAGTAAATTCTTGAGATTAATGGGGACTTCTAATTTAGACATAGTATTCATCACGGAATGACATCACTTGGGGAACCGTTGGAAATCTGAAACCACTGAACAGCTGGTTCACCCTATCATGGGACTCATCAGCAGTACGCACCCACGACCCGGCTAGGGGTCAAACTGAGAATCTTTAGGTTTCACGGTGAACGCGTTAACCATTTAGCCACTGGGTCGGTTTTCGGCGGTTTCAACTTCAAACCATGAAACCTGAAGGTCTTGGGTCCGATACTTAGCCGGGTTTTGAGTGCATACTGCCGAAAAGTCCCATACTAGGATGAAATAGCTGCCCAGTGCTCCCTGATCTTCAATGGTTCCCCAACTGGTGTCATTCCGTAATGAATGATACTTCTGAAAAGTCAATGTTTATTCTTTAAGCAACTAACTGACCATCGATGTCTTTTTCTTCAATTTTGTTGTTACATTTCATAGGTAAGTAGACTGGTAATCACAAGACAGCCGGTTATGGTTCTTTTATGACGACTTCAGTCATCTCTGCTGCATTATTTAAGACATATTTGGGCTTTGAGATCAGTGTAGTTTTCGTTTTTCAGCATATGATTTTCAAGTTTTTTTTACCTTACTTATTACCTTTTTCATAGTCCTGTAGATCTATAGACTTTAATACAGTAAATATAGTTTATATTTGAGTATGCTCACTTATGAGCTGTAAGCACTTTTTCATTTTATACTAACGGCATCTTAATTCGTTAATTTTTCTTCTGCATTTTTTTAGGAGACGGAGTTATCACACTAGATGAACTTCAAAACTATTTAATGTTGCATGAAATTCACTTTGCACGTTAATATCCCTACATTTTTGTCAGAAAGAAACAAATCAAATTTATTACATCGAACCTATAGGAATTTTCAGATGTCTATATGAAAATGATGGATCGAAAATTTTAATGTCCAATGGAAGTGGAAATAAACATTTGAGATGTTCAATGTTTCCCTTGATTCCTAACTTTTCCTGCCTATAGAACGATACTATTTGAGATGATCACTATTCCGTATTTTACGTATGTACATCATGTATAATCATTTTTACTGCGTATACCTCATTATAAATAATGAATATTGTGAACAGAAGACGTTCATAGATGTCATACTGCACAATAATATGAGCGTTTACACTATACTTACCTATTAAGAATATACTCCAGTATTATTGTCTAAACTTTCCTCAAATTGTTCACTTTCTTCCTTATTTATTTCCTTCTTTCCAAGTTGCATAACACACATGCAAACCCCAGCACTTAAACTTTTAACGGTTATTTACAAACACAATCAATTTTTTATATTGTCATTATAACTTTCATCCCCCTCACTGGAGTTTACTACTGTTAAATTCAACGATTTTACTAATATTTTTATTTTATCCCACTTTTCCACAAATTGACCTCATGAACGGCATACACTTACCCGCACTCCAGGAATACAGTGAGCTATTCGAAAATTATTTGCAAGTGATTACTTCCATCTTTATATTTACGTATGACAAATATATTTGTGCAAGCGAACACTTAAGCCTATATGCATAAATTGACGTCTCATCTTCATATACGTCTTACCAGTTTTCAGAATTCTATCTAACGGGTTTCATTTTTGTCATTACTAAAGAAAACAAAAACCAAAAATTAAGAAGTAATTTTCTTTTTACTAAAAATTTGCTTCAGTTTTTATTGTGCTATAAAGAAGGGAAGGCTTTTGAAGGGGGATGTTCAAATGGTTTAGTGATACGCATCAATTTCTGTTTTTATTCAATAGTATTTTTAATGTTATTCATTAGGTATGTTTTCGAAATTATGATAACCTCAGGTTGCAGCTTATTACTGTTTAGCCACAGGATCTCATTATAAATTCTTACTTTAAATCAAAGTTGGATGTAGTACTGTCTCTCTCCACTGTAAACCTCACTCTTCTAAGTTGTCATCTTTTAGGGTAGCTATGAGACATTCGCAGACATTCAGTCATTGTTTTCTTAGAAACAATGTTCATCTGAAGTGAGATAACCTGATAAGCTAAATGACGCACACTTATGCGAATGTGATACATCACTACAAGAAAATGTAACTTCAAAGTGTTAATGAAATGGAAAAGTGATCCTTTCAGACCATTTATTTTTATCCGGAATCTAGTGAGATTCCACACGTGAGCTGTTTCAAAGCCCCTAATCTCTTATATTGAGAAAATAGATTATTCGTTTAGAGATGGTTACATACTAATAACGTCTGTGATATTTGCTGAATGAAGAGAGCATAAACTAGCAAACAAGCTTGGAATAACCAAGAAAAGTTTATATATCAGGTAAGAAAAAACTGAACAGTAATAGATATGAGAGAGATGCAAAACTTTAATCTGGGTAAATGAACTTCATAGTACAACAGTAACTTGTAATTAAGAAACTTTATGAGTGAGTGTTTGATATTCATGGAAAACGTGCTAAACTTTACCAGTTCACTACATCCGCAGTGAATGTTCCTGTGGAATTTCTTCCGAAATCACTATTCCTATTAGTCAAAATTTTTGAAAATAATGACAACTCAAATAATGGAAGCCGTTTGCCAACGAATCTCAGATTCAAAATTCCGAAGCAGTTGAATTGAATCCATTTATGATTGCTGTTTAGATTTTCTTCGGAGGATCATGAATTTTTATCAGGGTTGTATATCTAGCATATGTGATCACTAATTTATGAGTTATATTTTGCTAACCAAAATAATATATATACGTTTTTCAGTAAACTTCGATGTCTGCAACATTGACACAGTACAGACCACGCATTTAAAACTATGTCTAGGTGAGGAAGGTGAATTGTTTGTTATGAGTAACTCCACCAATCACATCGACAAAAGACAGTTTATGTAATTTGCCTTTTAATTTACAGTAATGAATGTGCCATGAGCAAGAAGAACAGTTGAAGCAGAAATAAAATCTGATCTATTTCAAATTGTAATTCATGGTAGACTGACATTAGTTGGGAGACAAGAAGAGACTTGGGAGCACTGGAAAGCTGTTTCGTCCTAGTATGGGACTTCTCAGCAGTACGCACCTACGACTCCACCAGGGATCGAACCCGCGACCTTCAGGTTCCACGGCCAGCAAGTTAACATTGAGCCACTGGGTTAGAATCCAATGGTTCATATTTCCAACTTCTGTTAGCTCCCCACAAGTCCGTCAAACTTCAGCTGAACTGGTGCTCATTGGTGACTAGCTACGAGAGGTATTCCTGAAGTTCCAATGAGAAGTCATGACCGGTGGGGGCAAAGCCTGATGGTCGTGAGGACAGTTACTCAACGACGACATTGGGTGGCGGTTGCACTATATCGTGGGCTAACAGAAGTTGGAAATATGGACCAGTGGCTCAATGGTAACGCGCTGGCCGCGGAACCTGTAGGTCGTGGGTTCGACCCCTTGTGGTGCGGGGTCGTGGGTGCGCACTGCTGAGGAGTTGTATACTAGAACGAAACAGCTGTCCAGTGCTCCCAGGTTTCCTTTGTTCCTCCAATTGATTTTAGTCTACAATGAATAACAACTTGAAATATCCCAAATCCCCACAACTCCCTTAAACGTCAACTGATGTATTTAGTTACAATGATATCTTCTCAACCGGTTACAACAACACAGAATATATCGCAATACATAGTTTCAGTGAAAAGTTGCCATACGTTAATCAACTGGATGGAAACAGAATATTTGAACAATGCAGGAATAAAGACATTTACAAGATAAAATGAGCTCATTTTATTGCATCGCCTTCCATCAGCTGCAAATAGCCTACTATTGAAATGAAGTATTGGTAGTAATTATGGCATGACATACTTGATGTACATAGAAATAAATGGAGGTTTGAAATCCAGAATTAAAAATAAGGTAGTGAGTGAGATGAGGAAACACCGGATTAATAGTTACAAATCTTAGTCAAAATCAGTGGCTATTTATATCTGATGAGATAGAAAATTCTGGAGCTGTGGATTGGGGGAAGAACAAACAAACTTCAGTGTAAAATAAGGGACCGTTTAAGAGCTAACAGATTACGTAATTACATGAAAAACTTGGAAATCGTTAGGTGAATAATATTCAGTAAGTAATCAATGAAGAGATGATGCAATGAAAAGGGAAGACTATATACATACACATGCAAAAATTGTATCTAGTTAGTAGAGTTAAGAAAGGTTAATTACAGTCTCCTTCTGAGTATATAGGTCAGGTTTAAAATGCTTCATAGCGACAGCTTCCGCAAACTGTAATAAACGTGGTGTTCTTTGTTTGCTGATTATCCTCAAGGATTGAGAAACATCTATTTGATGTTTTATTTCCATCGGATGCCTGGAAATTGCGCTTGAATTTCAAATCTCCACTTATTTCTGAGTGTTTAAAAAATGTTATGTTATTAATACCACAACTAATATTTTGTCTCGTTGATGGTGAACAGGATATGCATCTTCTGATGAGGTTTTGCGGGTGACCGTTTTTCTTTTTGTAGACTACATGGATCTGAATATTCTATCAGATAGTATGAGAAGTTAGATACTATTCAGGTTGTCTAACTACCCATGTTTCTCAGTAGTATATTTTGTAAGTATATGATACTTCAATAGTAAAGATTACACCTTGTGATCTTGGCTGGCTGATTTCCTGTGGAATCTGTATTGAAATCACATTTAGGCAGTTTAAAAAACTACTGTGTTGTATGAAATTTTAACATAGACTGAGTAACTTGTAAATCATTTTCAAATTGATTATCCTACGCGAATCTGATTCCATCTGATGACTACATTAAAATGAATGTCAATAATTTGAGCTCGTACGTTAATAGTCTACATCTGAAATATGCGTAGGTTACCAGTTTGTGATGGAATGTCTCTCATATTTCAGAATACTTTGAAGCTACCAATGACTTCTGACTGTTGCTTCGGTTCACCCGAGAATAAATGACCAAATTCTTTAATATCACACTCATATCGACAGTCTAATCACCACTGACTCAGTGTTTCATTAGCTGGTATGTAAGAATGAATTGACAAAAATCCATTCAGTCCTCATTTAATTGGTCGTTTCATAGTTAATATCCACTGGAAAACTTTATCTTCCCGATTAGACGCTTTAATTTAATAAATGGGTTTAGTGCAATCTTACTAAAAGTTATTAACTTCTTATCTCCAACTCAGTCATATTTAACGACAACTGGAAGCTATAGATTATATGCTATGTGCAGATGAGGCAAGTTGTTGACTGATAACAATAAGGTAGGTTTGAATCAGTGGTGCAGTCAAGAAAGATGTGTTTGCAGTATGAAATCTGCAATTGAGAACCAGTTTTAAAGTCCCAGATGTACATCCTCCCTTGAATAGTTTTTATCATTGATAATCCCAGCTAATCAAGGCAGTGTACTTACAACGGTTTGTAAAACGTAACAAATGGTGTACAAAGAATATCTGTCATTATTATTATTTGTTATTTACAGTGATAATGAGTGTTTTGTAAGATTATTGTTTCAACAATTCTTGACATAATCCATTGTATTTGTCCAACGATTCGATAGATCAATATGGTACTATCCCCTCTAGTTGAGTGAATATTTTGTTTTTCAAGTTGATAAAAATGACAAGAACATCTTGCATAAGCATGAAAGTGATCCAGTCTACTCCATGTGATATTGTGAGTTGGTAAAACCGACCATTTATAGGCTTCAACTAGCTGGACCAGCCTGTAATTTCTGTCTTGTTCGGTTCTACGCTTTGTCTAAAAGAAAGGCAAAACATCAAGAGTTGATCACTGAAGGTTAAAACGGTGTTAGTTGTAGAAAGTAGCCCGTCTGATATTACCGAAAACAGAAGACCAAGTCTAGGTCTAGGTAGTAACTTCAAAATGGTGATTTCTAGCTTACTGATAAGCACAGATTGTTGTTTACCGAGTGACATTAACTAACTACCAACTGGAAAACTAAGATCAGTCTTTCATTGTCGAGGTTGTATCCCTCCTAAATAGGTAAAACTTTTTCTACTTACCCTTTTTGTTTGATGGATTTAAACAAAATAGCATTATTTGGGTAGTCGAAACTGAAATCTGTTTGCAAATGATTTACAAACTTCATGGTCCACCTTGACATTTATCACAATTTAGTGGTTTTTCAACTGCCCAGCTATGGTGTCAACAGTATTTTTGTTGGAAATCACCTTCAGCTAACAACACAAGGTGTGATCTCTGACATAAATGCATCATGAATCAGCGAAAAATACTACAACTGAATTATCTAAGAAGTTAAAAACCCGTAGATTTCACCAGCCAAATCAGAGTGATCTAAACATCTGATGACCATTTTGCTCGTCTGAGGTATAATTCATCTATGAATAAATTATTATGTCATTAAATGATTTACCAATCCTATTCATCACTCCAAAGTGTTGACAATAAGACTGAATGATAGTTAAATGTAAAATATAAGTTTTCTTGGCTTATGTGACGTCTAGTTAACATGCTTATGGAATTTCATGCGGTAAGCATATAAGGTTCTACATCTTTTGCAATGCCAATAAAAGTGAATCACTGGCTAGTAAATGTGACATTTGAATGGTCGTTGCAGTCATGCGCACAGCAGTGTAGAATAACTACTTCCTTCTCATGAAGATGAAAACGTGCCTAAGCTTGCAGTCAGAATTCCTAATGTCTTTACACTGGAATCATCTCAAAGCTTCATGTTAAGTATTACATATTAACTTCTAGGTGAATGACGATTTTAATTTAGAGGTAATATCCAACATAGACTGATATCAGTTGGGGAGCTATTAAAAACCTGGGAGCACTGGACAGATGTTTCATCCTAATATGGGACTTCTCAGCAGTAAGCATCCATGACCTGGTAGGGATCGAACTCAGGACCTTTAGGTCTCTGCTTCTCTTCCAACTGGTTGAACCCACATGTCACGGCTTCTCATTAAAACTTCGTGATATCCATCTGGAAGCATGTCACTAATGAGCACTCTATAGTAATACATTTTGAAGTGAATAGGGATTTTAATTTATATTTACTCTAAATCCTTTTAAAGTTTAAGATGCTAATTTAGGTATAAGAATTGGATACAGCGTTGGTTGGATGTCTGAAGTTTTGGTTCATTATTTGGTTAACTTGTTTATGATTGATACCAGTTGGTTGCATTGTGTGTATGCATTAGAGTACATGCTGTGTCTGTCAGTACTGACAAACTGAGTAGCAACTGAATATAAAGTCACCACTAGTGTTGAGTCATAACAATGTAAGCGTGATAATTCATAATTAGAATTCATATAAACTATTAAAGAAAAACGCATTAAGACAGTGGCAACTGCTGCATGTAAAAGAAGAAGGTTAACCCTACAGTGTAGTAGTGAAAGTAGTATTTGTATTAGTTTAGAATTAACTGGGCATGTTTTTACTGCCACTTCATTGAGATTTTGGGGTTAGTGGTAAACAGTCAACAGCCTTATTCACTACAACTTCTATTAGGTTATTTAAAACACTCATCATTGTATTAGTATTATTAAATTACAATTATTTGTCCCTTGGGTTCCTAGTGGAACATAGGGCTTCAGTAGCACGTCTCCATTCAACTCTCTTCTCTGCAATCTTTTGAATCTGCCTCCACCACTCCCCACAAGCTCTCATTTCTTCCTCACACCATCTCCTTAATGTCACCCTTACCTCGGACGCCAAACTCGTCACTTCCCATCTGGGTTCCACTCGACAGCCTGGCCTGACTCGTGATATCCCCAGTTGGTCTTCTCAGTGCCTGCCCAATCCATCTCCAATTCCTTCTGCACATTTTTTCAGCGATAGGTTCTTGGTTGGTTCGTTTCCAGAGTTTCTTGATGCTTATTATTTCTGGCCATCTGAGCTTCAGTAACGAGCCTATGCAGTAGGCAGTTGTTGATGAATGTCTGACGTTTGTTGGAAATGCTTTTCGTGACACGCCAAGGCTCTGAACCACGTAGAATCACTGATTAGACTGAATTAGTGTTGAAAATTCGGATGTTGTTCACGCTTTATGCTGAGTGCAATGCTGGAGATCTCTACACTGGTTTCAGATTCATGAACGCCTATCTTTCTCTTCCGATCCTGTCTGGCTTTGACGTCTGCGTCTGTGCCACCTGTAGTTGAAACGATGCTGCTTGTCTAGATGAGTGAAAGAGACTACTTCCTTTAAGTTTCACCCGTAAATGTTGATTGAAGCTTGTTGGTGGTGGTGGCGTTGATTGGGTAATATCATCACCTCTGTCTTCTCCGCGTTCGCTTGAAGTCCCGTTTTCGCTGCCTCTTCTGTCAACTTGTTAGTTTTTGCCTGTAGATCTCCAAGTTTGTGTGACATTATACACAAGTCATGGGCGAAATCCAAATCTTCCCGGATCCTTATCTTGGTCCAGCGTATCCCCGTCTTCTCGCTCCTCACCGTTTGCTGCATGGTCCAGTCCGCCATAATTAGGAAGATCATGGGTGATAGTAGACAGCCTTTTTTAACTCTGTCTTCACTTCGAAGGCATCACTGAGCTTCCCATTTTGAATTACTTGGCATGTGGCGTCTTCGTATAGTTGTTGAATGAGGTTGATGAAGGTTTGTGGTATTCCGTAGTGTTGAAGCAGCTGCCTGACAAATTACTTCTCGGTTGACACTATCAAGCAAACTCTTTTCCTAGTCAATGAATTTGAGGTGCCATTCTCTGCTCTGTTCTATGATGATGCGTAGCGTTGCAATTTGATCCGCACATGATTTGTACTTCCTGAATTCAACCTGTTCTGGTCGTAGTTTTGAATCCAGCGTATCCTTTATTCTCTCCAGGATGATGCGGCATACTTTTGTGCTTGAAGTGGACAGCGGTGGAGCATGATTCCATGCCAGTTCTTGCAAAAGCTCACGTCACCCTTCTTCTTCGGGAGTTTGACAAGGTAGGCCTTCTTCCAATAAATATGCAGGTAACTTTCCTCCCTTCCTCCCAAAACTTCTGCAATAGTGGTGTGAGCGTGTCTGCTGTTGTCCATGCGTCCGTTCTCAGTGCTTCTGGAGGAATTCCATATAGTCCTGCTGCTTTCCCGGATTTCAGCATGTTCATGGCGCTCAGGACTTCTGCTTTCGTCGGAGGGCTTGTATTGACTGGTAGTTCTGTGACTGGGCTGTTGGTGGTATTTCTGGACGGGGTTGCATGCGGTGGTGGTCAGTTCAAGTGGTCAACTCATTGTTTCCTTTGTTCCTCATCTTTGGTAATAAGATTTCCTTCATCATTTTTTATTGGTTTCATCTGTGTTGATCTCTCCACTTCTGGTCATTTGATAGAATGTTGTCAGGTCTCTCTCTGTCTCTCCTACCTGCAGCCTGTTCTGCTTCTCTTGTCAATGTGTTGTAGAAGTGTCTTTTATCTTTGCGCGCACTCTTCTTTACTTCTTTGTCTAGTGTTTTATCGGTTGTTCTCAGTTCTTCGTCTCGTTGTGCATCTTTGCAGTGGTTCATCTTCTGCTTCACCGTCTCCATCTTCCTCTCCCTGATCTATCAGCTTCCATATGTCCATCGAAATCCATTCCTTGTCTTGCCTCTCCCTTTTCCTTCATCTTACGGTTATGCAGGTTCCACATAGCTTTCAAAGTGTTCCAGTGTTCATCCACACAAGTTTCTTCAGGGATGTTGCTCGATATCTCCTGTTTTGTCTTGATGGCTGACGTGAAGGTTTCCTTTGTAGTTTCATCCTTCAGTTTCCGAGTGTTGTACTTGAACTGTGATCTATCACCAGCTTCGTTGAAGGCTTTCAACTTGATTTGGAAGGTTCCTTGCACTAGATAGTGAGTGGTCTGAACCTACATCTGCTCCCCTTCTTGACCTTGTGTCAAGTAGACTGCGTCTCCACTTTCTTGAGATTGAGATAAAGTCGATTTGATTTGCAGTGTGTTCCGGTGTCTGGTGAAATCCATGTCACTTTGTGGATACCCTTGTGCTTGAAAACAGTGCCTCTAATCACCAAATCGTTGAATGCGCACAATTCTGCAAACAATTATCCATTCGCGTTCATTTCACCGAGTGCTTCTTGACTTATGTGTTGTCCGCTCCCAGCTTGGCTGGCATTCATATAACCCCATCCATTACAATTTTGATGTCGCCATCTGAGGTCTTGTCCAGTGTCGATTGCAGTTATCTGTAGAATTCCTCCTTCTTCTCTTCACTTTCATGATCTGCAAAGGGGGAGCGTTGAATGATTGTGTCTTTCCTTCCTTCTGAGTTGAACCTTGCTGTCATGATCCTGATCGTTGAGGAGATTGGTTCTCACTGTATGAGAGCCTTCGATGCTGTTCAAGGGGACATCATGATAGCCACACCATAACTCAGTGTGCTCGTGGTTGTCGTCTGGGTGACAATATCAGAGTAGATTATTGACTCTCCTGTTGGTAGTTTTCACAGTCCACTTCCATTCCACCTGCTTTCTCAGATTCCTAGCACTTCAATAGTATACCTTCTCATCTCCTTTGCAATCTGGGCAGCCTTGCTAGGTTCGTACATGGCGCAGATATTCCATGTCCCTACGTTCAATTTCGCTTTCATCGAGGGAGAGAAGACACATCGGCCAATTGGCTTCCCGAAGGCTTTCACCAACTGGCGTCATTCGCCTATCCGATTCCAGCGGGGAATAAGTTTGTTATTATTTTTTATATATCGTTTGTGCTTTGAAGTTTCTTTAGCGGTTAGATTTGTTTTACGGGGTAGGGTTGCTAGCCCTATGCCCAACCTTCCCTCTTTGTCGGGCTTAGGACCGGCTAGTAACTAGTGAACTAGTTAACCAGGCGAGGCTACTCATCATTGTAGATCATCGCATTAAGTACAAACAAGCCTTTTCTTCAGTATAAGGTGTGCGCAAGTTCTTGTATCATCCAGCACTTAATTAATCCAACCTGGTTGGTCAGTGAAAAACTACCGTAGTAAGTGAACAGTAGCAATGATTCCATCTGAATCAATAGCGCAGGCAATGTTTGTGTGAATAAGTCAAGGACTCCATACGTTTTTGATCAGTTATTTGTTACTGTCAGTTTTATGCATAAGTTAAACACTGAAATGAATAAATATTGACGTAGAACGTGAATAGAGTGGTATAATGCCACTCAGCTGTTAGAGAAGATGTCGTTTCACCCCATTATTTTTATTTCGTAGCTAGACAGCTTCACAACGATCTCCACTTAGCTGTGTAGTTTTTAACGCTATCACATTGTTCCACAAAGTTGTGTCATCGTATTTGACTTCTTGCCTTTCTGGTGCGTTGAATACCTTGCCCAACTTTTTATCAAGTTAAGTGTTCACGTTACTGTAATGTAACTGATGTAGGCCATCTACTTTGACCCATCGATCAGATACGATATTCTTAATATAATATTGTACACCTCTGGTATTCTCGTTAGAGAGAAACACATCAAAACAGAGAGTTTTACTGCATTATCTAACTGAACACCTTACAGACGATCGTCAACTTTTGTTGTCAGAGGAAAACTGGATATTTCACTGTTCAATTCAGTAGGTATGATGCACACATCAAGACAACTCACTGCATTCGACTAAGCGTTTCAAACTCTTTGAAAAAGCGTCAGCATCAATCGCTTTGAGCCGTGATTTACCACGTGATTAGTCCAGAGCATCTGATGAATATTCAAATAGTCTTCAGTTAGGATTACAAGCTTCCATTAATTTAATAAAGCGATAAATGAATACGATTTTCAAGTAAAACTTCAGTTATTGCATAGCTAAAGACAAAAATAGCTTGAATCCTGAGAATGTATACCACAGAGCCTGTAGTAAAGTACACCAAAATTACCTATGGACATCATAAGTTGTCGTGTTGGTTTTATCTAGCAGATAATAGTAAGTGGTCCTGCTTACCACTTTCTCTCATTATATGTAACTAATCGAGAAAACAAAAAATTCTTTAATGATGGATCGAGGCTAGCATTGGAATCTAGGACGCTTGTTTCGTTCCATTTGGAACTTGGGAGCTGGATGTACAAGCTTCTAAGTGAGTGATGTAGTTTTCACTATGCCTTAGACCCGGGACCAATCACTGCAAACGCCAGAAGAGGCAGGTTCATCCAGCAGTCAAGATTCATATAGGATGAAACGTGACTTCTGAATTCCACTGCTAGGCACGATCCATCAATAATATATAATTAAAACACAAGCAATATCAGGGCATCTGCCCAGGAGTCCATACGCCAAAAGAGGCAGATCAATTCGGTCCCATCACCGACATAATAAAACAAGTAACATTATGAAATCTTCCTTTTTTAAAACCATTTCAAAAAAGTCAAATTTCATCTGAAACATTTCGAAGTTATTCTTCATGTCGAAATAATTTACAAATCAACTATAAAATAGGCTATTGTCTCTTACCACATCGATGAAAGGTAGGCCATCGACTGGTGTATGAAAACCAGCTGAATAGTCTTTAATAAACACCTTGACAGATCGAAAAGCTTTCCTGAAAAATGAATTAAAATGAGTAAAACAAGAAGTTTAAATCTTTGCTTTTAACAGACATGCTCAAACAAAACTTGACAATTAAAAAGCTTTCTGTGATGGACGATAAGTTAGGCGTATGTTGACTGATTCCTATCAGTCAAAGAATGCAATACGACCTGCTGGTTGAACAATTATATGCCATTTCGGATAGTATTCATCACGGACTGACATCATTTGGGGAACTATTGAAAACCTGGGAGCACTGGATAGATGTTTCGTTCTAGTATGAGATTCTTCATCAGTATGAACCCATGTGCTATACAAATGGTCGGTAATGGCTAGCAGTGAAAGCCAGGAGGTGGGTTTTGTTTAGTCTGAGACTCATCAACTGATTGTACTTGATACACGTGCATACGGCTACCTTTTTCCTCGCTTCTGAAGTAACAACTGCATTCGCCTAGCAGTGAGTACTTTAGGCTTGGAATTTTACGACAGTCATAGCAAAATGTAGTGCTTTTCACATGAAGATACTGCAACTATGTTCTACTATGAATGATTTCCATTATCTGAGAACAGTTTGCTTTCGAATGCTGTGAAGGTATACCTATAACTTTACTACTTGATTTAAAAATAAAGGGTTCAGACCTATTATCGTCATTTTATAAACAGTACTAACTTGGTAAGGATTCCTGTCACCCTATTAATAGAATTGTGGTTAATTTCTAATGCGCATCAAGAAGAGCCGATATCTTTGACTGTGGTGCTTATTTAAGCAGTACAGTTCTCAGGTCTGCTCCTGAGCAGCTGAATACAAGAATGTTTGAAGATTAGATAATAATGTTTGGTGTCAAACGTATAGAAGTGTCATATCGTATACTCAAAGTATTTGCTTAAAATAATCAGTCATGTAAATATCACTGCGCAATACTAGAGGTGCAGGATACGTTACTCTAGTGTCTGTTTCCTTTAAGCTAAAAAATAAACATTCATCTTACAGGGTCAGTGTGCATTTAGTGTGCTTATGTTTCTGATTGAAAAAATTCAACAATGAATAGGCAAACAACCTTTAATACTTCATAGGCTTGTTGCTATCAAACGTAACATGTATGCATCATGTCTTAAAGGCATTTTTATCAATATCTCAACTGAAATGCTGGTGTCAGACTGATTTCTTTGAAAGATCTGTCCTAGAGCTTACATACAGTTCTCATTAAATATATTTATTATCTCCGTATTATTTCATAGTTTACCATGTCATCTTGCAGCCGTATACAACATCTTGTTTTGCAGGTCAAATTTTATACGATGAGGTTATTAAAAGTAAAAAATCATCGTTTTCAATACTTGTTATTAGCTACGCTACGTGGTGGTCAGAAACGTTGAACCTTGAAGCAATGAACGCAGAATTTTATCCAAATTGTCATTCATGAAACGCGTATAGAGAGATCTCAATTATAAAATATTTTCTGTAATAGTGTGCTGTAAAATTGTTCATATTTGCATAAGAAACATTAGATCTCTGAAACCTCTTAAAATCAATTGTTTCGCTTCGAGGTTTCGAGAAGGGGCACGTAAACCAATGTGTAAATATCAGATAGCTCCAACCTACCATATATACTCTCACAGTACTTTACACCAGTTATGGATTATAATCAATATTCTTATTTTAAACCTGCCTAATTTTCAAACTATTTGTTATCACGTTTATTTACTGCATATTTTTCCTGATACACACTTAATTACGCAATCTTTTTCTGACTACACCATCGACCCAGTATTTCAGCCTGGTACATTCCGTTTCGATGACCTAATGGTAACCTATCAATCACTAAAAGACTAATTCGTTTCTTTGTGTGTTATTACTATTAATAACATTGTACAGTTGTTGAGAATGATTCGTCGGAAAAAAAATTTCTTTGCTGAATTATTTTCTGTTTTTGAATGTCTTAGAATGTTTCAGATTGGTTGCGTAGGTGAAAATTAATATGATATTGTATTCTAGAAAAGCTTAGAAAAAGTCAAGGCCACTGTAAATATATGTAAACCCTTGTATCTTGTACATATTTTGATATTGGAGTATAACTTGTGCTACCTTACCACCTTTCGCCTTTAACGAAGATAAGAGCGGCTATCAAGGGAGGAACTCGGAGGTCAAGTGGCCATCTTCAAATGGTTGATCAGATTCCTCAATAATTCTCTTACTTTGAGTGACGAAATTTCATATAGGTAAAGTTATCCTAAAAAAGTCGTAAGTCAAAAGTTTATTCAACTTAGGCCAAAACAAAAAGTCAAGCAGTAATTTAGAGGTAGTATTTATCAGTTGGAGAACTACTTAAAATTTGGGAACACTGGACATCTCTTTCGTCTCAGTATGGGACTCCTCAGTAGTACGCATCCATGACCTGGCTAGGGATTAAACTCAGGACTTTTAGGTTTTACGGTGAACCCGTTTACCATTCACTCACTGGGGCAGTGGTTCACAGTTTCTAACTTCTGTCAATTCACGATATAGCGTGACTATCACCCAACGTCTTTGGTTGTCATCCGCTCCGCTTACGACTGATTGACCCCACAGGTTACGCCTTCTCATAAGAACTTCGTGAATCCCATACTAGGAGGAAACAGCTGTCCAGTGCTCCCAGATTTTCAATGGTCCACCCAACTGATGTCAGTCTTTGATGAATACTACCTCTAAATTAAAAATCCCTACTCATCTCAAAAATACAACGACTAATTATCCCTACAATTTAAAAGTTTTTAGTCTAACTACTATCACTACCAGAGAAAGATTCTTTTGACCTTACAAGAACATCAGTTATTAGTTTCAATAATAGTGATAAAATCTTGTTATTTAAAATCTTTTCATCTTTGAAGTGAAATATGTTCATTCTTTAAAGTTATGTGCAATTATTTTGATTGTTTTACAATGTAAGCTATGTATAAAGATAAAGGAATGTAGCATAACTGATCAATTTCATCACATGTTAACTTAAAACAAATACACATATTAGTCTTGTAATTTTATCGTCTTCATAACAGAACAATGTCAAATGATATAAAATCCCGCCGTGACATTCTCAAATCAATTACATGATTGAAACAAAAAAGCATAAAAAGATGCAATTTTACTATTATATTTTTTCCTCAGTGTAATTTTAATTAAGTAGTAGATGTCATTAAAACTTTTACTTGTTTGATAGCATATGCATGAATTTGAGTCCCCAGGAGACAGGAGAAAGTTTCGAGTTGTTTATTGGTTTATTTCATTTATTTTTAGAAAATATGAATATCATTCAGGAGGTTCCTTTGTATTAAGACTGAAAATTGTTGACCAATCATGAGTAGTAGGAAATGTAGACCTTTGTGTTACGAAATGTTGGTTAAATGGCAACGTGCTGGCCGTAGACGTTGTAGGTCCTAGCTTCAATCCACGTGACGTGATGGTTGCACACAGCCGAGGAGTCTTACACTGGAACGAAACAGCAGGATAGTGCTCTCAACTTCTCACTGGCTCTTCACCTGATACTAGCACTTCAGGACTAACAGCTTGAAGTCGTGAGCAGTTTCCAACTATACATGAATCAGCAATTAATCAACCTTCACAACTGTTCTCCAAATACAAGTGACCCTCGGACGCCCAACTCGTCGTTTCCCGTTTCGGTTCCACTCGATGACCTGGCCTGGCGCATGAAGACCACAAACGGTCTTCTCAGTCTAAGTCAAATCCAATCCAATTCATCTCCACTTTCTTCTGCATATTTGTTGGGTGGTAGGTTGTTGCTTGGTTCGTTACCAGCCACAGTTCCTTGTTGCTCATTCTTATTATTTTGGCCATCTTATCTTTAGTATCGATTGAGCGTGAGCAGCAGCTGCTGATGATGTACATCTTTAGTTTGTTAAAAATGCTTTTCGTGACGCGCCACACTGATTTCAGGTCAATAAAGACCTGTCTTGCTGTCTTTTCGATCCTGGCTTTGACTTCCTCATCTATGCCTATACCGCGTGTAGTGGAAACGATAGGTAGGTAGGTAGGTAGGTGAAAGAGACAACTTCGTTTATAGTTATTGGTGCTTGTTGTTGTTGGTTGGGTATATTCATCAACTCCGTCTTCTCTAAATCCACTTGAAGTCACGTCCTCACTGCCTCTTATGTCCACCTGTTGGTTTTCGCCTGTACATCTTCGAGTTTCTGCAACACTAAACATAAATCATCATCGGCGGCGAAATACAAATCTTCTTTCACAGTCTTTTCATCGGTCAACACAGCGTATGCCCATCTTCTTGCCCCTCTCAGTTTCTTGTATTATTCATTCCAGTCCAATCGATAACAATCAAAAACATCGTTGGTAGTGATGGTAAGCAACCTTGTCTTACTCCTTCCTGTCTTCACTTCGAAGTCATCACTCAGCTTTCAGTTGTGAATCACTTGACATGTAGCATCGTGTAGTACATAACTGTTGAATGAGGTTGATGTATGTTTGTGGTATTCCGTAGTGTTGAAGCAGCTGCCTGCCAAATTATCTCTCGGTCGACGCTGTCGAAGCAAGGCATTCTCCAAGTCGATGAAGTTGAGGTAAAGTTCTAGTTGACTGCCATTCTATGCTCTGTTCTATGGTGATGCGTGGAGTAGCGTTGCAATCTCATCCACACATGGTTTGCTCTTTCTGAAGCCAACCAGACAACCATTCAGCCTGTTTCGGTCATAATTTTGAATGTCAAGCATATTTTTAGTCTCTACAGGATGATGCGGCATAATATTTTGCTTGGAGTGGAGAGGGACAGGAGGATGATTCCTCACTGGTTCTTGCAAACATCTAGGTCTCCCTTCTTTGGAAGTTTGACAAGTTAGGACTTCTTCTAATCTGCAGGTACCACTCCTTCCTTCCTTCCTTCCTTCCTTCCTTCCCTGCAGACCTTCTGCAACAGTGGTGAGAGCATGTCCACTGCCGATGTCTCTGCGTCTGTCTTCAATGCTTCTGGTGGAATTCCATCTGGTTCTGCTGCTTTCCCGGATTTCAGCATGTTCACGGCATTCAGGACTTCTGCTTTTGTTTCTGTGCTTTGTTTCTCTTCTTTCGTAATTAAATTTCCGTCATCATCTTTTATTGGTTTCATCTGCGTTGATCTCTTCCCAGATAGCAGTCTGGTTATTTGACACATTGTGGTCAGGTCTCTCTTATCTGCAGCCTATTCTGCTTCACTTGCCAGTGATTCGTAGAAGTGTCTTTTGTCTTTCCGTGCACTCTTCTTTACTTCTTTGTCCAGTGTTTTATACATTGTGCACAGTTCCTCTTGTCGTTGAGCATCCTTGCACTGGTTCATCTTCTGCTTCACCATCCTCCTCTCCCTGCTCCATCAGCTTCCATGTATCCATTGAGATCCATTCCTTATCTTCTTTCTTCTTCCTTCCTAATATGGTTATGCAGGTTTCTTTCCATATCTCTTTCAAAGAATTCCAATGTTCTTACACACGGGTTTCTTCAGGGATGTTGCTCGATGTCTCCCATTTTGTTTTGATGGCTGACGTGAAGATTTCCTTTGTAGTTTCATCCTTCAGTTTCCGAGTGTTGTACTTGAACTGTGATCTATCACCAGCTTCGTTGAAGGCTTTCAACTTGATTTGGAAGGTTCCTTGCACTAGATAGTGAGTGGTCTGAACCTACATCTGTTCCTCTTCTTGACCTTGTGTCAAGTGGATTTCGTCTCCACTTTCTTGAGATTGAGATAAAGTCGATTTGATTTGCAGTGTGTCCTGGTGTCTGGTGAAATCCATGTCGCTTTGTGGATATCCTTGTGCTTGAACACACTGCCTCACTGCAATCACCAAATCGTTGAATGCACAGAATTCGGCAAACAATTCTCTATTCTCGTTCATTTCACCAAGCGCTTCTCAACCCATGGTTAGTTCTCTTCCTGTGTTGTCTCCTCCCAGTTTGGCATTCATGTCGTCCATTATAATTTTGATATCGCCAACTAAGGTCTTGTCCAGTGTTGATTGCAGTTATCTGTTGAATTCCTCCTTCTTCTCTTGACCTGCATTATTTGTAGGTGCATAGTATTGGCATTGTATGATTGTGACCTTCCTTCCTTTTGAGTTGAATCTTGCTGTCATGATCCTGATCGTTGAGGAGATTGGTTCTCACTGTATGAGAGCCTTCGATGCTGTTCAAGGGGACATCATGATAGCCACACCATAACTCAGTGTGCTCGTGGTTGTCGTCTGGGTGACAATATCAGAGTAGATTATTGACTCTCCTGTTGGTAGTTTTCACAGTCCACTTCCATTCCACCTGCTTTCTCAGATTCCTAGCACTTCAATAGTATACCTTCTCATCTCCTTTGCAATCTGGGCAGCCTTGCTAGGTTCGTACATGGCGCAGATATTCCATGTCCCTACGTTCAATTTCGCTTTCATCGAGGGAGAGAAGACACATCGGCCAATTGGCTTCCCGAAGGCTTTCACCAACTGGCGTCATTCGCCTATCCGATTCCAGCGGGGAATAAGTTTGTTATTATTTTTTATATATCGTTTGTGCTTTGAAGTTTCTTTAGCGGTTAGATTTGTTTTACGGGGTAGGGTTGCTAGCCCTATGCCCAACCTTCCCTCTTTGTCGGGCTTAGGACCGGCTAGTAACTAGTGAACTAGTTAACCAGGCAAGGTTCCCCTCCCAGATAGTAACCTGGTTATTTGATATAATGTTGTCAGGTCTCTCTCTGTCTCTCCTACCTGCAGCCTGTTCTGCTTCACTTGTCAATGTGTTGTAGAAGTGTCTTTTGTCTTTGCACGCACTCATCTTCACCTCTTTGTTCAGTGTAGTGGTATATAGTTTGTGTTCAGTTCCTATTTTCGTTGTTCATCCCTGCACTGCATTGTACTGGTTCATCTTCTGCTTCGCCATCACCATCTTCCTCTCCCTGCTCTATCAGCTTCTATAATTATAGGTGATTTAGAAATGATGAATAAATTCTTTCTGGGACTCATATTTGTTGAACAAAGTGATCATTTTTATGGATTGTTTATCTAAAAATGCATACCTTGAAAGCAGATTCCATGCGAAAGGGATTTAGTTGTACAGTTTCTTATATTTTTTGACATCAAAAGTAGAGTTTTTCAGTTATTAAGGAAATTTTACTTCGAAAATTGATGAAAAATAACGCGTTGGTTTTCCATGTGTCAATTAAATTCCTATATATATCATAAAATTTTTATTGTGTAAAACTGAAACAAGAATAATCTCATTTCAACTGTATTGACTCATATAGCAAGTGTTTAACTAGTTCGTGGCACTTTTGTGTCACAGATCATATTTAATGGTCTCTACTGAATGGTTTTTAGCAGGAAACTTGTTGACACCACAAGTGATCAGTTGCAAAACTGCTCAACTGTCAGAAATGTCAAGATTAACCATGTAAGGCGTAAATCACTTGTAAATTGATCAAGTGTATAATTCTGTAAAACTTTAAAACAGTCGATTCCAATGGAAAACATGTGTGAATTTATGAAAAGTTTATTCAGGATATGATAACAAGGCTTTTTCTAGATTCATCTGGCAATGGAGACTGAACAGCAGTAGAATTCAGGCTTGTGTAAAGTCATAAGCAGTATTAAGTAGTAACTAGGAACGTATGGAGTTTTTGCACTCAAATAAGCATCTTACTCGGAAATCCAACTGCATGAGTACTGGGACAAAGATCTATTGGTAGACTGAGAACTATACATATCTAATATTTGAACGGGCCTTAATTAGTGTGCCAGATGTGTAACTGTGCACACGAATATGTGAGCATCTGGCCAGAAACAGACCGATCAGCTGAGAGCGGAAAAATTATCAAAAGGCAGTTAACATATATATATATATATATATATATATATATATATATATATATATATATATATATAATATTGAGTGATGATTAAAGATGAGATGAAAATGTGAAATGCGGTCGAGTTCCAACCAGAGACACACTGACTCTCCAGCCCCATGCTCTACCAACTGAGCTATGACGTCCGAATGATCACCACATTTTTATTTTACTTCAATCACTATGGGTTTCGCTCGACTACAATGAGAATTCGTGATGCATTACTACCACTTGACTATACCAACAATGACTGCCTGCATTCAGGACTTCTCATCTCAATCGAAATCTAACCGAATTGTAGAGGAGGAGCATCATATTGGTTATCATTTGACCATGTGAGATAGCCTTAATTTGTCAGACTAGTATTTATATTGGGTGATGATTAGTGGTGTACTGAAAACTGGGGCTAGAAACCTGTTGGTTGATGATTAGAATCTGGTGGTGGTCCAATTTTTCATTCCACCTTTAGTCATCATCCAGTGTAAATACTAGTCTGCCAAATCTTTCTTCATTCATAGATATCTGAATTTTGTTAACAATATATAATTTAGGTGAAAATATAAATTTCAGAATTATATGACAATGTTTTTCTAAACTTCAGGTCGGTAATCATGGACTGATATCAGTTGGAGGAACATTGGAAGCGTCGTAGCACTGGACAACTGTTTCGTCCTAGTATGGGAATTTTCCGTATTGCGCACCTATTACCCCACACACAAGGGATCGAACCAAAAACCTTCGAGTTTCCTGGACAGCACGTTACCAACGAGCCACTGAATAGGAACCTAGTGGTCCATATTTCCTACTTCTGTCAGTTCACGATACATCGCAGCTTGCATCCAAAACTGTTGCTGAGTAGTTGTCTCCATGTTTAATTTATTTAGTCCCACCGGTCACAACTTCTCACTGGAACGTGCGGGAATTTATTATTTTTTAGTCCATGATGAATACCAACCTGAAATCAATTAATAAATCTCTATAAACCTCCAGAATGAATTATTCTAGTGCTTATTGGTGACTAGCTTCGAGAGGTGATTCTTGAAGTTCCAGTAGGAAGTCGTGACTGGTGGAGTCAATCAAGTCGAACATGAGGACGCTTACTCAGTAACGGTATCGGATCGAGGGCGCATTATATCGTGAACTGACAGAAGTATGAAATACACACCAGTGAATTCCTATGCAGTGGTTCAGTGGTCACGTGCTGGCCGCGAGACCCGAAGGTAGTGGATTCAACTCCTTGTCGGGTGATGGGTGTGCACTGCCTAGAAGTCCCATGCCAGGACAAAAGAGCTTTTCAGTTCTCCCAGGTTTCCAATGTTCATCCATACAAACCTCTAAGCTGGACTTTTCTAAACTACTGTTGATTAAAACATTTCTGGTTATCGTTAATCAAGTGAATAAATGAACTGAGTTCTTTCTAATTTCCCTTATCTAGGCTAAATTTTACACGAATACCTAAAACAGTACAACGCAGTATTATGTTATTTCGTCCACTGATTGCATCGCAAACGCGGTCGACAAGTTTCAGTTATTACTGAATACTTACAGCTACATCAGTTACTCAGTGTTGACCACTTTGTGTAGATGAATATTCTAATCATCAAGGAGAGAAACTTGATTTCCAACTATTCGCTACATAGAATGAATATTTGAGAAAAATATTTTCGGTAAGATGCTTAGCTCAGGATGGCAATGCGGATGTTTCAGTGACTTCTACTCTTTCATATTTTGATACGAATGTTTCACTTTCAGACTTACTGTCATGCTCAGCACTACTTTGAAGAACACTAAACCACCGTACATGTTTCTGGTATTTATCCAAATGTTACCACAAGCAAGAGGATGAATACTGATTCAAACACTCCTTCAGAGGTAAAAAGTAGTTAGTTATTATTTCACCAAAAAAAGTGAACTCACTGGTTATCAAGAGAGATTTTCAACTGTTTCATATGTGAAGAATTTAGCCATCTTACACCACCCAAAAACAATACAGCTTCGTCGAATGTCTGCGTGAACCTGTCAAAAATAGAGAAAAGAAATTGAAGTATACACCATACACACAGACTTATCAGTTTTATATACTAACAGCAGTAGTTATGAGTAAGGAAGTTAGAAATAACAAACAAGTATACATGAAATATCTTATTCATTATTATTGTGATCGTCCAAAAGGTATGTTGCAAACTGTTAATGATATCATCGACTTAGGCAAACCAAGGCATGAATAAGCGTAAGCGAAAAAAGCACATACATTATAGATATGAGCTCAAATAAGCTTGTATACAATTTCATGTTTTAAACAAAAGCTAACTATTACAAGATTTTATTGATTACTGAATTACATATTTTCTGTTCTAGATTAAGTAGATATATGGAAAAATGTTGAGAGAAAATTTAACTCACATAAAAAGTGAATTTAGTAAATCAGTGAATGATTTATTATATTGTAGTTTCATTGAATAATCTGGATAATAAATAAATCTAGTGATTTTAGCTCCACTGTTAACCAGTGTTATTTCACCGTGTGTCTCTTGAACATTGAACAGTGTTTTGTTTAAACGATGCAACAAGGAATACATTAAACCGCGTAAAGTTGAATCACCTAAGAAAAGAAGCTGGAATAATGAAAAGGAAAGAAATGTAACGATCATAAAAAAAGCGATATGGTGTTATGTATTTACTAAAAAATATATGCGGAACAGATAAGTGGAAGCAGACATAGGGATATCAATCAGTTTCATTCTCTTAGCTTGATCTCATTTCTGTTGTTACTCGATAAAGTTTCTCTTCAGCGTTATGTCGGCTGATAGCGTATAAGGTTGAACTGGATAACATTTCAAGCATAAAGTATTACTCATAATCATATCAATAAAATCACACCTCATATTATTTGTTGCCAGTGTCGGTGAAATTTTTCACATATCTGTTTGATATAGGTGTTGTGTCATTCCTGTTACATGTGTCAGTTATTGATTCAGTGAACACGGATTCAGTAATCAACATGTGGTGATAGGACTATACGATTTAGATGTCGAAAGCTGGTAGGTTGTGCTCTACACGTTATACTGTATCACTGTAAAATGCATATCAGATAAATAAATCCAATGGTGAATTACCTTCTGTTACAGTGTTCAAGTTGTACACGTATATTAAATGAACTAAGTAAATTAGCCCTTTCTCTAGTATTATACAAGTCATGTACATTCAGCTTGTCAGGTTGACTGCCAGATACACATCATCACAATCTTTTCCACGCTATCTACAAGACGCTCCGATTATTATTGCAAATTAATTATCCGTAACTGTAACAAGTGAATAATGATGTTTTTCTGAAGTAAATCAGATGATAAGAACTGTATACAGATGATTCATTCCAGCCTCAAGTAAACCATACTTGAGAAAATCTTATTACATCTATGGGAAATTCAGTTCGTGAGTTGTTGAATTCTTTCAAGATGTAATTAGTTGAGCCACTAGCTTGCTACCGTCATGATGTTTCCTGTAATGCTGTTCTTAAAGATAAACTTCAAGAAAAAGTACATCAGCTGATGAATAGGTATTGTGTGTTTATGAATAATAGAAGTTTAGATGACATGAGGCAAATAACATCGAAAAACATTTTCAGAAGCAGGAGAAAATCACTGTTGTACATGGAAATCACATGATTTTTAGGTTATATGAACAATGGAACTTAATTACAAACGTTTCATCATCATGCTAGATTTCCCCATCAGCTTTTCCTTGAGAACCATTAAAACTCGATGAACATCAAATAACTGTTCTTGGGTCTTGAGATAAATTTGAAAAAAATCCATGCCATAAGAAAGTTTGAACTGTGGAATTATTGATTGTCATAAAGTAAAATACCAAGCGTATTTCCTGTCTAATTGTTGGCATAAGACACTGTGTTTATGGTAAAGGTTTCACAAACAATTTAGGGGGATGTTTCATTATTTTTCATTTCCTAGCGAAAAACATACCATGGGGGAACTTACCAATATTGAGGAGTGAATCACAGAGGTATGTACAGTTCGGTAAAAGCTTAATCACCTTTTTATCTTAAACCGTCATTGCCATTTGCAATGATCTGTTGACTGGTGTCATAAACTAATGGTTTCCTTAAAAATATTCACGGTAACGTATGGTCCTACTGGGTGAGATGAGTATTTCTAGATCACTTACACAGATAAGCAGTGCTTGTTAACTAGATCACAATGATCTAAACATTAGGCGGCTGTTTTTCTCGTTTGGTGTCGAATTCATAATCTCTGTATCCTGATTGGTTCAGCTCCGAAAGGTAGGTTTTTCAAACCAACGGAATCTCAGCTGGTTACATGGGCGGAATAAATTCTGGGTGTTTGCGAAATATGCAATTTTTTGGTGACAAATCTCACTTTATTTTCTTATGGAAAGCAAAATATTCAGGCCACATAATATTACTGACTTGCTGGAAACTGTAAATGGCTTTAAGACTGTGTGAACGAAGCTGTACGTAATGTACTGCTGACTGAAATGAATAGTCTTAGACCTTTTACTGTGATCAGCAGCACTAGCTTATCAGAACAGAACTCCGAAGTAATTAAAAACTACCCATGTCAGTTAGCAGTACTTTATGCGTCGCTTCATGCTCACAATCTTGAAATCCTTAGTGATGTTAAGCACATAACTTTATTTAATGTATTTTAGTTTCTATCGGAGACAGAGGTGAGATTTCTCATCACGAAGTGAGTATTTAACAAAAGCGTAATTTGATGAACAATAGTACTCTTCAAAATGCTTTACTGTAAATAATAATGAGGTATGAAGTGTCATAACTACAGACTAAGATAAAAAGTATGATTCGAATAGTTGATTTCTAGTAGAATCTAAGTTGGATTAGTTTTTGAAGGTAAGTTTTGATTGCTAATCAAAAAAATAATATCAGCATGTATATCTATAATAATAGATCATGAGACATAAAATTTTAATTACTCTGCATATCTGAATTCAACGTGATTGTAATAAATCATTCAATGACAGACAAACATCAACTGTGAGAGTTAATGAATAAATGTGCAGTGTTGGTAATTGATAATGACTTGTTGGTTTTCTACCAAACCCGAGTAAAGATAGTATTGGTAATAATAATAGTATTATGAGTAGTGGCAGTCGTAGTAGTGATAGTAGTAGTAACAGTGGTAGTAGTAGTCGTAGTATTAGTAGTAGTAATAGTAGTCGTAGTCGTAGTCATAGTCGTAGTCGTAGTCGTAGTGGTAGTAGTAGTAATGTGAATAGTATTAGTAGTAGTAGTAGTAGTAGTAGCAATAGTAGTGGTAAAAGTGGTAGTAGTAGTAGTAGTAGTAGTAGTAGTAGTAGTAGTAGTAGGAGGAGGAGGAGGAGGAAGAAGAAGAAGAAGAAGAAGAAGAAGAAGAAGAAGAAGAGGAGTAGTAGTAGTAGGAATGAGACTCACAAACAGATATTTTGGTAATAGACTACGAAGTTTGCTTACTTGTCAGGATAAATACACTTCGGTCTCTCCATGTTGATACTTTATTTAAGTTCAGATTTGCTCACCAACTTACAACTCAGATTACTAGCCGTTAGTTTGACGATATTTGAATGATAACTGATATTCGAGTTTAGAAAGAAACAAATACATTTAAAAAGAACGTTCATTACGTCATACAATCTTTCTGTCGATGTATTATTGTGTAGATACTCATGATGGGCAAACCATTTTCCTTTACTGTGATACCTGACTGACTTTACTGCTGATTTTCCTTCAAAATATCTATCTCTAAACAACAATCTGTAAATGTGAAACTAAAACACATCGCTGATATTATCTCTTGGTGACACGGTAGAGGACGACAAAAAGGTTAGGAGAGAAACAGTCCCAATTTATCGCTGCGATATTTACATCCTTTTAGAATATCAGACAAATTATTTGATTATCTCAAGATAAGTGAAGTAATATTAAATTACTATTATTCGTATTGGAAAAATTACTACATAAAAGATACTACTACTGAACAATTTGAGTAGTTAAAACTATTGAGACTAATCGACAGTATTTTACCAGGCAGATCATAACGATCATAACAGCTAACAGCCGTTTCGTTCTTTTGGGGCCGAGCTTATCAGTGGCATACTCGAATAAACTAAGCTTAAGGGGCCGATTTAGTTAATATCATTTGAATCTGGCTAACTGACTTACATGAATAGCATGGACATGAGCCAATTCGTCTCTTATAGGTAAATTTATCCACTTGTCGGGATGATGAACTCGCCCTTAAACAAGTGATATGGCCGTCTAGCGTTTAAATCACTGTGATCTAGCTGACGAAATCCACATATCAGCCCGAATGGCTTCTCACCACCCAAACTGTTAAGAAAAAGTACCCTTCACTAGTTCATGAAACTTTGGTGTAAGAGATTGCATTTTGTGGTCTCAGCTGAGTGCTTTCCATCACAACTCTTGTTGACACCACAGTTGGATGGTTCAAAAACTACTCACTTGTGAGAAGCATCGACGTGAACCATGCAGTTTTTAAATCATTTGCAAATTGATAAACTTACTACACGATTTTTCAGATAAAGTGAAAGCAACCTCTGATCATTTTGTATCTTTCTTTTATTGTATATACAAGTGTAGAATGGATTGTTTACTTCAAACCATAAGGCACTCGACCAATCACAATTCACTTCATCATTATCATTATTACATCTAATACAGGGAATAAACCAAGCTGAATTTGTAACTGGAAGTCCTAGAAATGTGAAGTAAAACAGATTTATAAAAGAAAGTCAGGAATACTGAATAACACTTAGAAAGTAGATTGATTTTTCTAAGTGCTTTGAAACTCTTGCTAGATAAATAAAGGTCACTGACATTTTTACCGTTAACCTATGAAATGTGTGATCAGGTGTAGAATAAAAGATTTGCTACACGATGGTATTTATGAGCTAACTACGAAAAATGAACATAAAGTAAAATACAGTAGTAATTTATAGTGGGTGATGATTGAAAGTGAAATGAAAATTCGGCCCGCTGTCGGATTTGAAACAGAGATACACTGGGTTTCCGGCCCAACTGAGCTACGATATCCGAATGATCACCACATTTTTATTTTACTTCAATCACTATGCGTTTCGCTCGACTACAATGAGAATTCGTGATGCATTACTACCACTTGACCATACCAACAATGACTGCCTGCATTCAGGACTTCTCATCTCAATCGAAATCTAACTGAATTGTAGAGGAGGAGCATCATATTGGTTATCATTTGACCATGTGAGATAGCCTTAATTTGTCAGACTAGTATTTATATTGGGTGATGATTAGTGGTGTACTGAAAACTGGGGCTAGAAACCTGTTGGTTGATGATTAGAATCTGGTGGTGGTCCAATTTTTCCTTCCACCTTTCGTCATCATCCAGTGTAAATACTAGTCTGCCAAACTGTGGCTATCTCAGACAGTCGAAAGTTAAACAACAAATTAACGACCAAGAAGATAAATTTGATAGGTTGAGTCCGTTTTTTATCTTTAAGTATTACTGCTCACTTAGATAGTGAAGAAACGAAGTGAGTGTTTTATTGCTAAGGTCTTTTTTACATAGTTGCTCTAATGCGCAGGTGAAACTCTTATGTTTAAAGGCTATTCGTACAGAATTCGGGATAAATAATGATGCTGGTTTGGTATCCTTTGAACTTCGGTATTTTGTAGCGGAAGTTTCATTATCAGGCTTGATGACATCCTAAGTAATATCTCCATAATGAAATAAGGAGGTCAAAGCTCACGTCTTGTCTCTTTACCCCCTCTTTTCTGCAACCTACAGCTAGACAGTATCCAATAAAAACACCATCTAAACATTAGAATATGCTTCATTTAATTGTGAAGTTAGTGATGAGGATATCAGCAAGTTTTATGATAAAACGTCCACGACAAAATACCGAAGCTCAAAGAACATCAAACCACCACCGTTCAAATTCTGAGCCACAAATCTTTTCCATCATTTCAAGGCATAATACTTCTCACATGATCACGGATTGGTAAGGAATGAAGGCAAAGCTGGGTTACTTTATGAAAATCTAATAAGAACAGTTGCTGAGTACAAACACTGTGACAGTCTCTCTATGCAACAGAAGCAACGGTCAGTTTTCTGTTTAGTAAACTCAAAAGTGTGGAATAGTAGACAATTTTTAGACGTGTGTGTATATGACCCCTGATTTCTCTTTTGTCTATCTTTTCTGTTTCTGTGTAAGCTATAAGTGTTCGTCTGTTGACAGTTTCTTTTGAATATATATTCAAACCTATACAAGTTAATCAAGCCAGTGTGTAGCACGTAGACAGCAGCATAAAAACTATTTGATATCAGTTAAACAGATATTGAACAACGGAGTTCTTCAGTGACTAACACGTATTCATGCCCTTTGAATCTGTTTTATTTATCATACTGATAAGACGATGTCATGAAAAAAGGAGTAGACCTACCATTAGAACTTTTATTTCAGAAAGCTTAACTTCTTTATGTCAACAAATTTGAGATGGGGACCAGCCTTCAGAAAAACAGAATTCTTAGTCTTAAAGTCATTTCTCATGGCCGGATTAGGTAAATTACGAAATAGAATGTTTGATTAAAAATTTAGTACAAAAAAGAAGTCTGTTAGTCCATTTTTAGATGATCTTTGACACTTTTTCTCTTGATTATTTTGATTCAATTGCATTATTATTATTTATTTTATGGGTTCTTAGCGGAACATAGGGCTTCAGCAGCAGGTCTCCATCCCACTCGTTTCTCTACAGTCTTTTCAACCTGGCACCACGACTGTCCACAAGCTTTCATTTCTTCCTCATACCATCTCTTCCATGTCACCCTCGGACGCCCAACTCATCGTTTCCAATTTGGGTTCCACTCGACGGCCTGGCCTGGTGCATCATGTCCCAAAGGATCTTCTCAGTCTATGTCTAATCCAACCCAATTCATTTTGACTTTCTTTAGCATATTCCTTGGGCGATGGGTTCTTGTTTGGTTCGCTCCCAGAGTTCCTTGTTGCTCAGTCTTATTATTCTGACAGTCTGATTTTCAATATCGAGTGCGCCTAAGTGGTAGCTGTTGATATATGTCTGTAGTTTGTTGGAAATGCTTTTCGTGACACACCAAGATTCTGGACCATATAGAAGCACTGACCTGACTGGATTGGTGTTGAAAATTCGGATCTTCTTTATTGTGCTGAGTGCAGTAGATCTCTGCACTGATTTCTGATTAATGAAAGTCTGTCTTGCTGTCTTTCTGATCCTGGCTGGATTAAACGTCTTCATCTAAACCGCCTGTAGTTGAAACGATGCTGCTAACGTGGGTAGGTGAAACAAACTACTTCCTTTAGGTTTTGCCCATTGATGATGAATAGTGCCTCTTGTTGGTGTTGTTGGTCGGGTATCTTCATCACCTCCGTCTTCTCTAAATCCACTTGAAGTCACGTCCTCACTGCCTCTTATGTCCACCTGTTGGTTTTCGCCTGTACATCTTCGAGTTTCTGCAACATTAGACATAAATCATCATCAGCGACGAAATACAAATCTTCTTTCGCAGTCTTTTCATCGGTCAACACAGCGTATGCCCATCTTCTCGCTCCTCTCAGTTTCTTGTATTATTCATTCCAGTCCAATCGACAACAATCAAAAACATCGTCGGTAATGATAGTAAGCAACCTTGTCTTACTCCTTCCTGTCTTCACTTCGAAGTCATCACTCAGCTTTCAGTTGTGAATCACTTGGCATGTAGCATCGTGTAGTACATAACTGTTGAATGAGGTTGATGTATGTTTGTGGTATTCCGTAGTGTTGAAGCAGCTGCCTGCCAAATTATCTCTCGGTCGACGCTGTCGAAGCAAGGCATTCTCCAAGTCGATGAAGTTGAGGTAAAGTTCTAGTTGACTGCCATTCTATGCTCTGTTCTATGGTGATGCGTGGAGTAGCGTTGCAATCTCATCCACACATGGTTTGCTCTTTCTGAAGCCAACCAGACAACCATTCAGCCTGTTTCGGTCATAATTTTGAATGTCAAGCATATTTTTAGTCTCTACAGGATGATGCGGCATAATATTTTGCTTGGAGTGGAGAGGGACAGGAGGATGATTCCTCACTGGTTCTTGCAAACATCTAGGTCTCCCTTCTTTGGAAGTTTGACAAGTTAGGACTTCTTCTAATCTGCAGGTACCACTCCTTCCTTCCTTCCTTCCTTCCTTCCTTCCCTGCAGACCTTCTGCAACAGTGGTGAGAGCATGTCCACTGCCGATGTCTCTGCGTCTGTCTTCAATGCTTCTGGTGGAATTCCATCTGGTTCTGCTGCTTTCCCGGATTTCAGCATGTTCACGGCATTCAGGACTTCTGCTTTTGTCGGAGTGTTTGTGTTCACTGATAATTCTGTGACTGGGCTGTTGGTGGTATTTCTGGACGGGGTTGCATGCGTTGGTGGTCGGTTCAAGTGGTCAACTCATTGTTTCCTTTGTTCCTCATCTTTGGTAATAAGATTTCCTTCATCTTTTTTTATTGGTTTCATCTGTGTTGATCTCTCCACTTCTGGTCATTTGATAGAATGTTGTCAGGTCTCTCTCTGTCTCTCCTACCTGCAGCCTGTTCTGCTTCACTTGTCAACGTGTTGTAGAAGTGTCTTTTGTCTTTGCACGCACTCATCTTCACCTCTTTGTTCAGTGTAGTGGTATATAGTTTGTGTTCAGTTCCTATTTTCCTTGTTCATCCCTGCACTGCACTGTACTGGTTCCTCTTCTGCTTCGCCATCACCATCTTCCTCTCCATTCTCTATCAGCTTGCATGTGTCCGTCGAGATCAATTCCTTGTTTTGTCTCTTCTTCTTCCTTCCTCATACGGCTATGCAGATTTCTTTCGGCAACTCTTTAAAAGAGTTCCAGTGTTCTCCCACACAGGTTTCTTCACGGATGTTGCTCAATATCTCCCATTTTATTTTGATGGCTGACGTGAAGATGTCCTTTGATGTCTAATCTTTCAGTTTCTTGGTGTTGAACTTGAAGTGTGCAATCACCAACTTCCCTGAAGGCTTTAAACTTGATTTGGAAGTTTCCCTGCTCTAAATGCTGGTCTGAACCTACATCTGCTCCTCTTCTTGATCTTGCGTCCAGTAGACTGCGTCTCGACTTTCTTGAGATTGAGATAAAGTCGATCTGATTTGTAGTGTGTTCATCTGGCGAAATGCATGTCACTTTGTGAATATTTTTGTATTTTTACATACTACCTCGCCTCCAATTACCAAATCATTGAGTGCAGAGAAATCTGGAAAGAGTTCTCCATTTTCATTCATTTCATCAAGTGCTTGTCAGTCCATGATTAGTTCTCTTCCTGTGTTATCTGCTCCCAGTTTGGCATTCACGTCACCCATTGGAGTTTCTGATCCAATAGATTTCGCAAGTCAACTTAGTGCAGATAGGTTTTTACTAGACCTTGAACTTTGACCTGTTATTTCGGATTTTGTAGTTACTTCATGAAGTGCATTTCTGACACATCACTCTATTTAACTGTCTCTGTTATCCAACATGTCAGGTGACTTCAGATTATGGCAGACATTTGTGAGAAGTTACATTTTTTTCATCGTATGTCATATTCAGCTTTAAAATAGCCTTTTTTTCGGAGACCACATGACTGGTTCAAAACTCATTTGCCATCTCCATATAGTTACTAATCAGATTTGATGAAATCTTGATGAAAACTCCCGAAGTAAAGGGTTAGTGGAATTTCGATTTCGAAGAGATATTCATCAGTGATATCAAGTTGTGTTTTCACTAAGTCATCATCTGAAAGGAGGTTGAAAATTTATGCTTATTTTTGTTAACCTATTTGTTGAAGGGTAAAGTGCTTACCAAAAGGTTTCATTATCATGGATGAGGTAACATTTGACGACAATTTTATGCTCATGTGATGTTTATTGAAGCAGCTTACAGTAAAGATTTTGTTTCAACATACCTTGGTTGTATTGTTTTCTCTGAGCTCAGAGGACACGATACAACCAAGACCATCCACCTGAGCTAAAAATATTCTCCATTGTTTCAACATATACCTGGTTCATATACAGATAATATTTAAAAGATTAAATTGATGTTGAGAAAAGCTGTTTGTCGTTTTCTACTATCGTCAATACTTACACACTCTTCAAATTCACTTGTTTTGTACACCATGAAAAAGTAACAACAGTTCTTATACTTCAGCCGAGTTTAGTGGTATTTTCCGATACGACGGGATCTCATCCTATCCAGAAGTTTTTATCACCGTAATGAATGATAAAGCTTCTATGGAGACTAGAAAATATCAAAAATCATTTCAAATACAATTGGCTTCTCAACCATATTTCTGAGATGCAAAAGGCAACTTTTGACTAACGCCTGTCTGTCACAGTACCATCATTCATTTGTGCGCATGTCTGCGAAGCTGATGATCCCGAAAACAGAATAAAAATCAAGTACTGAGCCATCATAAACTAGTAAGTGTCAAATAGAAATAGTGTTAACATTGGGACACCCATTCAAGGAATCCACACGCTATCAAAAACTGACCAATTTGGTATAATAATCTAAACAAGAGGAAAATATGTAAAGGACCACATGAAAGTGTGCCGTCTTTGAAGCGTACCACAGATTGACTGAGCATTTGGTTGCCTAGTTAATTTCTAGTAAATCGTCTGATATAGCGATGAACTAGTGATCTACTGGTTCTTGTCTCACTAGATCTCGAATTTTATATGAACTTTTATCATTCGTGGCAGTAAATAAATAGACTATCTCAATATCTTTAGAAATAAACCTCTACCAAATACCTCAGAAAACATCTTGATTTCAACTGAATGACGATAAATACCAGTGTTACTACAATGATATTTATCGGAACACCTAAAGTGACAACAGCTCCATGTTGCCCACATGAAATTTTTTATGATTTTTAAACTACTTATAAGTAGACAAATTGTTTTTCAGATAACTTGCTGATAACTTGTCGAGAGTATTTTTTGGAGAAGATTCGTCAACGTTCATGTCAAAAATTATGCAAGAGCATGGAATTTTGAGAAATCTTTATGAAAGACCTAACGTTGTGGTTAATTTCAGAAATATAAATGATATATTACAAGGCTATATACGTGAACAGTATTAAAAAAATATGATTCAAGTTCACTTTAGTAATTTCGTTGCTAAAAGTAAATGGAACAAGCACTTTAGAAGAACAATGTAGATCAGTTTCATTATTATTTTGGTTGACTTTAGCTTCTAATATTTTGAGACAACAGATCTATATGCGACATATTAGGACGCTACACTTGATTGACAGGAAATTAGCTAGGAAGTAAGGCTAAAAAACTGAATCGAAGCATCATCGGGTAAAGAAAATTTTCGCATTGAAATGAGGCTGAAGTGTCATGTAATGATTTCTCACCTTAGTACATAAATGTTTGTTGCTTTTCGAACCAATACTGCAGTATGATTATTTCTTTAGAGTCAAGGTAGGGATAGATATAATTGCTTAATATCGGCGATATATATATATATATATATATATATATATATATATATATATATATATATATATATATATAGGTCGTTCGATGCGACTGTTATCCAAAAAGGTTGAAGAGCACTATCCTGCATCGTGAACATGAATCACGAATCTCAGGAACCTTCTAGTTCAAACTCATCTTTAAAGTAAAAAGAAACCCTCCAAAGGTTGTATGTCTGCGTATTCTCTGCATCGCCGAAGCTCTAGCCATCTATATTGAGAAACCTGAAGTGTAAAAGTAAAAGGAGATTGTTAAACTTCTCCTTTTTTCATAGTCTTAGTTTTAGTCTTTGAAATCACCTTTCCTTCCATTTTTCTGTTTAGACGCTATTTACTTCTTAAGTAATTTCCTATTCTTGTTGCTCTGCCTTGCTTGATCAAAATTCCGCTCCCGGTTATGTCGTCACACAACGAAACTTCTTGACCAGATTCATTTTCTAGTTCTTTGATTTTAATGACAGCTCATAGGACTGATACTATTTGTGTTGCCATGCTTAATAAGTGGTTTTTAACTATCAAATCATTACACTAGAAAAATGTATAAACTTGCAGTTGTACAGCTTTAAAAATGAAATCACTGAGAAGAGACTCTTCGCTGAATTGCCTACTTGTTCTTTTTTCATATCTTGATAGGTATATCTTATACATTATTTCTGTCTACACCATGTGTTGTTAAGTCTTCAACTCCTTGCAAATATTTCTTAAGGAACAGTAAATCGTCATTTTACTAACAGAGGTTATTTTCAAGCTGGAATCAGGTATCTTTAATCGACGACAGAATAAGCCTTTTGAATTCAAGTGTGCCGGTGGACAGAGAAGATCAACTTGTTTTTAGATAATGTCTGTAGTCTGATGAAAAGGTATCTATCACTCTCTTCTCTGCAGTCTTTTCAACCTGACACCACGACTGCCCACAAGCTTTCATTTCCTCCTCACACCATCTCCTCCATATCACCCTTGCACGCCCAAGTCGTCGTCCTTCATTTGGCTTCCACTCGACGGTCTTGCCTATCGCCTGATGTCAACAAATGACCTTCTCATTGTATCCCCAGTCCAGTACAATCCATCTCCACTTTCTTCTGAATTTTCCTTGGGTGATGGGTTCTTGCTTCGTTGGTTCATTCCCAGTCAGAGTTCCTTCTTGCTTATTTTGTCTGCCCATCTGATTCTCATTATCGAGTGAGCGTAAGCGGCAGCTGTTGATGTATGTCTGTAGTTTGTTGGAAATGTTATTTGTAAGGTGCCAAGTCTCTTAACCATCACATAGAAGCACTGACTTGACGTTAGTAAGGAAGAGCCTCCTAGCAATTAAAACAATTATTGGTACCTCTTGAGGCTACCGAAAACTGGGTTGTATTTCAGCATACGGGCTTGATTTCGAGAATTCTTCTTGGATTTACCACTTTAGGCTATTGACTATGAGATCGTTGAGTATAATGGTTGATATTTTACAAATTAAATCTCCCAGCTCCAGAAGAACCATAAATTAAAAAAAGCAGCTTCTCACTGATTCACTGACAATTACTATCCGCCACTACAATAAAAGTTTAAAATCACAAAACTCTCACCTTTATTATTTGAATGCCCATAAACTGAACAGGTTTCATTACAAAGTTTCTGTACATGGTCAGAGAACACCATCCAACCTCCAGATTGATTCCACTTTTGAATAAGTGAGATATATTCTGGTTTAAATATTTGTCCGACATCCTGCAGCCCACACAGTCTTGACCGATCCATCCAATGAAGACAGTTCTTGTAGAGGGGAATAAAATAAGATCAGAATGAACTCTCTGTGGTAGACACTTAAGTTTTTCTTTCTGAATCAATGAAAATCAAAGAGATGGATATTCAAGAATGCTGAATGTCAGGTTCAAAGCTCATTTTAACTGTCTCCTTCTTAACCTCAACTAACACTCTGTTTGTCGACCTTGGTGTGAGTTTTGAACCTTTCTCATACGACAACATTATCAGAGAAGCCAATTACAGTTCGATAGCAATCGCTTTGATTGGTGGAAGAATCATGTCTTTAGTCATTGATTTTGTGCACCAGCACTATACTATTAACAGATGAACAGTCTTAACCTAACCTTATTTACTTTTTGGGTTTAATGAACATGAATTTTTAAACTTTCCCATGAAAACCTCTGTTTAAACAGCTTTTAATTATATGTAGTGTAAAAAACAATTATTTACACTGATTGGTCACTGCAGAGCTGCCAGTCTTACGTTGTCTAGTCCTGATTGCTAACCGAGTTCAACTAGTCATTTTGCACCCTGGTCATCAAGGTAGGAGGACAATCATGGCGAATCTCACGGAGGACATCAGCTCCCTCAGGGTTTCAGATACACCTTGCTGACAGATATCAGCATACATGGAATGTAGGTGATGAACTTTCTGTGCATTACCTCCAACCAACCAACAAGCAATCTTTTGTATTGATTTTAGGCTGGAATTCATCATAGAATGATATCAGTTGGAGGAACACTGTAAATCTGGGAGTACTGGACAGGTGGTTCGTCCATGACTAGTTTCAACCTAGAACCAACTAATAAATCTCCGCAAACCTCTAGACTGAATTAATCTAGCGCTTATTGGTGACTGGCTGTCATGATTGGAGTCAACCAGGTCGGATATGAGGACAGTTACTCAGCGACGACATTGCATGTAGATCGAAATATATCGTGAACTAACAGAAGTAGACAATATAGAACATTGGATTCCAACCCATTGGTTCAATGATAACGTGCTGGTTGCGAAACCTGGAGGCCACGGGTTTGATTCCTGATAGGGTCATGATGCACACTGCTGAAGAGTCCCATACTTGGACGAAACAGTTGTCCAGTGGTCCCAGGTTTCCAATGTTCCTCCAACTGATGTCAGTCCAAGAAAATCGCTAACTTTGATTACGAATACTTGACAATATTTCTGGTAAAAAGCTCCTGTTCCTTACCTAAGTGACTTTATTGTCAAACATATCAGGAAAAAATGTGCTGAGTATTTCAAAACTTAAAAGAATGTTGCAGTATAATGCTAACAACAATGTAATAATCATAATACTTCGATAGACAGTTGGTTTGTTTTTTGAGACCTGCTGCTGGTATTGTGTGCGTGTGTATACTTGCATGCATTGTTTCTAAACGTCATCACTGATGTCATTCAGTACTCATCTCTTTATCCAATAAAGATGGAAGAGTGTAAAGGTATTTTCATAAAAAGGTAGAATACTTTATTGACAACAAAATAGATTTATTGGATTTATTTTGTACTCATTATTGACTTTTATATATCTATTGATTTATTATCTTTTTTATGTTTAGTAAATGTAAGCTATTTCAACCAGAAGTTAGTGTACCATCAAAAAAGGAACTTTATACTAATCGATAAAGTCAGATAGTTTGTTTGAGTAAACACTCATATCCTGAATTCATTTTATAAGAAAAATATCTTGTCGAAAGTTATTAACGGTAATGTATATTTTATTATCAAGAAAGTATAATTTTATGACAAATCCACTGGTTATATTTTAAGAAAGAGCACCCTTAATCTTCAACTGATTTGATGATCGGAGAGATGAACATCAAGCTTGTTATGGAACAGGTTAACTATGAGCTACAGGAGGTTGTCAGTATAAACCACTGTCTAATAGTAGTATTCTACTGCTCAAATTAAATGGAACACATAAATACAAAAGAACAAAGAACTATGATGAAACTTGGATTCCTATAGACGATTAAAAAGTTCCTGAATGAAAGATTGTAAAGCTGGATAACTAGATCAAAAGTGTGTAAGTGCCTATACATGTGAGTGTGAATGTATGGAAGTACATGCCTGCCAGTTCGACTTCGAACATCTTGAGAAGTAAATTTCTGTTTGATATAAGAATAGTCTTGTGTCTAATGTCGCACAAGCTCGAAGATCTACAGGCAAAAACTAACAAGTTGACAGAGGAAGCGGCGAAAATGGGACTTCGAGCGAACGTAGGGAAGACAAAGGTGGTGATGACACCCAACCAATGCCACCACCAACAAAAAGCTCCAATCACAATCGACGGGAGAAAATTAAAGGAAGTAGTCTCTTTCACCCATCTAGGCAGCATCGTTTCAACTACAGGTGGCACAGACAAGCACGTCAAAGCCAAGATCGTAAAGGCAAGACAGTTGTACATTAACCTGAAACCAGTGTGGAGATCTTTTACACTCCACTCAGTATAAAGCGTCAACAACATCCGGATTTTCAAAAACAATCCAGTTGAGTCAGTGCTGCTATATGGTTCAGAAACTTGGTGCATCACGAAAAGCATTTCCCATAAACTACATACATGCATCAACAGCTGCCTAGGTCGGCTGCATACTGAAGATCAGATGGATGGCCAGAAAGAATAAGAAACAATAAACTCTGGGAACGAACCAACCAAGAACCCACCACCCAACAAATATTCAGCAGAAGAAAGTGGAGATGGATTAGGCATGCACTGAGAAGACCATTTGGGGACATCACGTACCAGGCCAGGCCACAGAGTGGAACCCAGTTGGAAAACGGCGAGTTGGCTGTCAGAGGTGAGGGTGACATGTAGGAGATGGTGTAAGTAAGAAATGAGAGCTTCTGGGCAGTCGTGGTGCCAGGTTCAAAAGACTGCAGAGAACACAGTGGAATGGAGATGTGCTACTGAAGCCCTATGTTCCACTAAGAACCCAAGGGAAAAATATTCATACTAATAAATAAGGACAGTCTGCCTTTTGTTCGCCTCATAGACATTCATATTGGGATTGCAAAGAATAATGACATCGTTATATCCTTAGTGAGTAGATGAGACTGAACTTCAAATTAACTAAATAACAAGCAATGGGCAACAATCCGAACAAAGAATATTCTTTTCAAAAAATTGCCTTCAATAGCGAAATTAGAAGATGAAGTTTATCTGAACAATGTGATGTATTTTTGCGCAATACATTTCGAACAATCTGATCACACATTTACCTATCCAGTCAATAAACTGAGGGGTGGGGGGACAAACACAACATTTAACACAACAGGGGATTGAAATCAAGAAGGATGAGAACAAACAGGAAGTGACACAGTTGATTCTAATCTTGGTAAGAAAACAAAGTTCATCAAGGTATGTGTAGTGGAGTAACAAATTGCTTTGTATACATAAAGGTGGTTTCAATTTGTTTATGGCTTCCACGAATCTCAGAATACTTCTCTGGCTGTTTCTATATAAAACTTTGAAAGCTGTTTGAACATTATTTTGTGACCTGTTCCTATGATATGTTTGGCTATAGATGAAGAGGGTTGTCTCCCACCAGCATTTATCACTGTTTCACACTCCATTTGTTTTTGAAGCAACCTAGGCACACGTTCTCACACCTTCAACTGCACGACTCGATTACTCCTCCCTACGTATGTGTCACCACACACACGTGTAAATTGGTAAACACAATGGGATGTGACGTAATCACTGATGCAGTGTTTAAGTTTGTGGTGAAGCATGTGCTTTGTTTTTTCCACAATGATAAGATTCATCAGGCAATATGTTTTCTTAATGGCTGATGTCAGCCTGTGTCTCAAAATGGTACTATTCAACTCCCTGCTACGTGGTAGAGTGATATAAATGCTTTTCTTAATGACCGTGTATAGAGTTGGCTGTGGTGCTATTTGACCTCTCCAACGGTTTACAAACTTCATCGGATATCCATTTCCATAAGTGTTTTGGTCAGTGATTTGATGTTTTCATCCACCGTATCTAGTGTACTGGTATGACAGATCCCACTAAACAGGCATTTTACTAGACTTCTATTGTATTGGATTGGGCAAAAACTGTGAAAATTCAGATATTGTCCTGTCCATGTAGGCTTTCTGTAAACTGACTGTCTTATTGAACCACATGTTCTCGTCAACTCAGGAGTATATCTAGGAATGATTATTATTCCCTTTTTAACAAGTCAGGTTCATATGAGTTTGTACGGTGTCAAGTCTATTTAGTAGACAAGACATATCTTCATGCCTCTCACAAATCACTATGATGTCATCAACATATCTCTTGTAAAGAGAAACTTTACCGATGAGATCATCAGCCAGATTTTCGATATATGACATATAAAGATCATCTGGTATTGGTCCTAAGGGATTACCATAGCTACGCGGTCAACTTATCGAAAGCGTTCATCTTCAAATGTAAAATGGACTTTGTCAGTACACAGTAATAATAGCTCCTTCAGAAAGGTTGGAGTAATAGGAAATGAGAGGTTTCTAGAAGATGTATAGTCATAGAGAATGCTAATAGTCTTGGAGGCTGGTGGGAGACAACCCTCTTCATCTATAGCCAAACATATCATAGGAACAGGTCACAAAATAATGTTCAAACAGCTTTCAAAGTTTTATATAGAAACAGCCAGAGAAGTATTCTGAGATTCGTGGAAGCCATAAACAAATTGAAACCACCTTTATGTATACAAAGCAATTTGTTACTCCACTACACATACCTTGATGAACTTTGTTTTCTTACCAAGATTAGAATCAACTGTGTCACTTCCTGTTTGTTCTCATCTTTCTTAATTTTAATCCCCTATTGTGTTAAATGTTGTGTTTGTCCCCCCACCCCTCAGTTTATTGACTGGATAGGTAAATGTGTGATCAGATTGTTCGAAATGTATTGCGCAAAAATGCATCACATTGTTCAGATAAACTTCGTCTTATATTTACGCTGGAGAAATTCATGAAAGGGACTAACTGTTTGAAATTCTCTTCAGAT